TACTAGTCTTAACTAGTCGTAAATAAAAGCACGAAGCATTTTTTTTCTTTTTACAATAACAATCCAACGCGTTTACGAAAGAAACCCACATTTTGAAAAATCTCACGTGAGATTGGGGGAAGGGGGAGGGGGTTGAATAAAATCTCACGACATCTCACCAGGGGGGGAGAGACAGAAAATCCAAAAAAACACCTCACGTAATTTATGGACGCCCCCTTACCGGGAGTGCAAGCTCAAACTGATGGTATGGCTCAAGACCATGGATTATGATGAAACTGAGAGCCTTCTTAATCTTACTTACTAGCGGATAAAATAGCATTTGTACACACTAACTCACGTACACTCGTCACACTCACGCACATGCACACACAAGAACACGCACACACACATACACACGCATACAGACACACACTCAACCGCTTATATAAATTATAATTTATTTTTTTACAATGTATTAAAAATCCAATGAAAAGACCTTACCATAAGATATATTAATGATGCTTTGGAAGAGTGGTTCCTTCTGGTACAGGTGTTAAACACTTAATAGAAGGAACCCACCCGGGTTTGGTGTACAACAAATGTGGTATCGTAATAAACTTTTTTGATTTGATTTTTTGATTGATGCCCAGGGCCTCCAATAGGTCAAAGACGGCACTGGCTAGAACGTTAAGTGTCCTAGATGGTGAGGGTGAAACCTCTCTGCGGCGTGTGTTACGGCGGAAGAACTTGGCCGCTGGCACCAGATTGAATTGCACTTCTACTGTATTACGATAAGTCATCGGCGGTCCAGCCCCCCCTAGCATGAGCACCGCGATATGATATATAACTCGTTTTTATCACGCTCAATTGTCAAATTACTATGGCGTTTGACAGTTAGGTGAGATAAAACACGTGATATAATGTAAATTGTGCTGTTCTTGCTACGGGGACTGAGTGGCCTAGTAATGTCGCCACTGCTGGAGCATAACCCTTTCCTAAGCACAATCATAGATAGACTGAATTAAGTATATAAAAGAACGGGCCTAACCTGGGCGCCCTGCTGCATCATTCGCTTAAGTACCTTTCGAAACACGAAAAATAACGAAACAAGTGATAACTGTTTGGCGGACCATTTGATAACTGGACACTCCGAAAGTTCTTCACTAAACTGCAACGATACAATACGTACTACTTCCAAGCAAACTGAACATTTTTAAATAATGTACTTTATATAGTCCAAAATGACATCAACTTTTTTGATTTAGCTTTCTCTTATATGGTATACAACTTTACTCTCTTGATGATAACGATCGCACAAAATTTGTCGCCTCTTAGTAACAAGAAGCACTCTAGAATTTGCGTTCCACTGATGGGCCGGGGTCGGCCTTAATTATCTGAGCCACTGTTTGTCACTTCACATGAGAGTAATTAAGATTCTTTCCTAACATGTATGCATTTTTTACATTAGTGTGATTTATGTGGATTTACGGATACCTTTTTTGCCAAGTTTACCATTTGCATAAAACTACACGCTATTGGAAGAACAAAACCTTAAGTCATCCTCAAGTTTTGTATTATAAACATACGTTTGTGTGTCACATTCCTAATAACAAAGGACATAATTGATGAGCGTCATACAATGAGGTGGAAGGAAAAAGGCATGAAAGGCCGCCTCAGACGCGGCACCTTGAAGAAGGGTGACATCATTCGCGCGGTGACTATGTCGGCTCCATAATGTGTCGAATATTATGGCGTTTTGAACGTTTTTATTTTCGTGAGCTCGAACTCGTACTAAGGGTACAGATGGCGATCTTCATACAAAGTACGCTCTTGCAACGCACACATAGAAACCGCTCATGGACATGATAATTTACGATATCTCGGACCGCATGGGACCACTGCGAGCGTGAGTTCCAGTCTCTGAACTTTTTTGTGCAAAAAGAGAGTGACAAAAAAATACGTATTTTTTAAATGAAAAGTGAAGTGCATACATGAGATTACCTTCTTTACTATCTATTTATGCTTAAATTTAAGTAACAACCAGGTTTTTACTTAATTAATATGGTTTTAGTTTTATGTACTTCTGTCCCTGTAGCATGAGGACCGCAATTTACATTACACTTGTATCACGTTTTTTATCGCGTCAATAATTTAATTGTCAAAATCTATAGTAAAGTGATAAAAACAAGCTATTTATCATATCGCAGTGCTTATGCTAGGCAGGCTGATATGTTTAAGAGAAAAGGTGAAAACACTAATTTTAAAATCAAATAGAGATGGAATGAGGCTTACACATGATTTAAATGGGCAAATGGGCCTTAGAATTTAGCAAAAATACCCTTTAAAAACAGCTTCTACTATTAAGTAAGAAAGATAACAGTTCAAAGATGCTTCGATGATGTCTTGATACCTAACTTTTCTTAGGCGACGTGACGTCACAGACCGGCAATTGAGCAAATGATATGTCAACAATAGGTTTATAACTTATAAAATAATAGGTAGCATGATTGAACAATCTTTGATTGATTGATTATGATTTGTGTACTAATTCTAGCCTGGCATCATTGCTGTGTCTGAAAACAGGATCGTAAACAACAATTCATCATACTTCACTATTGTCAAAAAGGAGGAAGCACAAAATTAAAGAGTAATGAATATCCCAGCAAAGTCATTTTCATGTAAACTGTAGCCAAGAAGAGAATAAATGACTCACACTATCAGAAAGTCACACTATCAGATCTCATGTAGAGCCAAGCTTCTAACTCTACAAAGCTAACTTCACAAACTCTACACTATACACATAAGGCTTGAATGTTTCATTACTTCAAAAACTATTGTATAACAGATAAGAATAGTGGATAATTTACGCGCCCTCGAATGAAGCAAACTGCAATATAAACTTTATATGTATATTAAGTCCACAATTGACATAATATTCCGAGGATTTTGTTTATATGGTATAATCAAAACCCAAGTTATAGGGGGTTCAAAAAAGAGACTGCTAAATAAAATTACATAAAAAAATCATGCATATTCCCTAATAGGACAGTCAATTCAACATCCTGTAATTTTTACTTTAGACAAATAATTTGCTAAACATTAAAAAAAAACAAAGCTTACTTCTAGCTTTATATGTTACTATGTGTTTTGTCATGTTTTTTTTTTATTGTTTTTACTTTAGACAAATAATTTGCTAAACATTAAAAAAAGCATGTGTTTTGTCATGTTTTTTTTTTAATGTTTTTACTTTAGACAAATAATTGGTACTTAATTCCATTATATGTAATCGAATTTCGGGGTAATTTGTAGGGGAGGGGGAGGGGGGGCTCTCCCCGACCCCCCCGCCATAAAAGATTTTTGGCGGAAATGCAGTTTTTTTTTACCTAACCTAAAAATTCATTAAATCTGTTAAATGTAGTGGAATTTCAGGGGGATAGGTATAAGGGAAGACTCCTCAGAGGGAAGGGTAACCCCCCCCCCCCTCCCGGCGTTTTTTTTTAACGAAAAGATAATTATAAAAAATTAGAGGGGTTTTAAAGGTAAAACTGTACTTCCAGGGCCTAGATTTTTTTGTAGAAAAAGTCTCTATTAACGAATTTTTCTTTCTGGCGCTTCGCCGGCCGCTCCCGCGGCACGCTCGCTTCGCTCGCTCGGCTCGCGCGTTAAGGTCACAACACTAACCTAACCTAACCTAGTGTGAAGTATCACCATACAAGCGGCTCATTAGAGTCCAAAACTCGCACTACACTCGACTCTTCAGGCGAAGGGACAGCAGAACTCGAGGCCGAAGGCTTTGAGGATGCCATGGTAGTCAGACGATGTTAATATCAACAGGAGTACGAAAAAGCTCTCAATTGTGACGAACACAAACACTGACTGACAGATCTCATTAATGGCGGTAAATTGTCACATTTTGACAATAGCACCAACTTAATAAACTTATATTTACCATAGACAACGAGAAACATGTTATTTTTGCATAAAAAAATGGCAGCACTGATCAAAATTTCTGTCAAAATTGACTCATAACCTACAAAAACATTAATTTTCAATATTTTTTTTCTCGAGTTCTATTCGTTTCCGCCTAAAAAGATTTCGTGTACGTGTTTATAATAGTTACTACTTTGCATGACAAAAATTTCAGCTTGCAACTCAATTACATATAATGGAAAGCTGAGCCAAATAATTTGCTAAACATAAAAAAAAGCATGTGATTTGTCATGTTTTTTTTTAATGTTTAGCAAATTATTTGTCTAAAGAAAAAATTACAGGATGTGGACTTGACTGTCCAATTAGGGAATATGCATGTTTTTTCTGTATTTTTTTCTTCTATTCAATAATTTTGAAAACAGTTTCTTTATTGATGTAATATTAACAAACAAATATTAGCAAAATGTTTGAATTCCACAATCAAGTTCAGTCAAAGTCAAGGCCATCAAGTTTGTTGACTCATCTATATCAAAATATGTGGTGAATTAACTACCTACCTACTGCCTTAATTTTATTCATAACATCAACATACAAGGCAAATCCAGTGACCAAAACAGAAACAAACAACAACATAGCCAACAGAATAAGTTACCAAACGGGGATAAAATCGGCATTTATTTTTAAATGATTAATTTGATTTGAATGACAATAAATCATACTAATTAACACAGTAGTAGGAAAAATAATAACCTTTTTAATTTAACATCCACAGGTCCACGAGCCTACTAAACATAAATATAAAGCATTCCGTCATCAAGAACAATAGAATCCCATTCATTTTTAATATATTCATTCTGGTCGGGTGTTCTGTGAGTTTTATTTATCCAAGTGATATTGTCAAGGTTCTAGTATGTAAGACCTCAATGAAATGGCAAGGTGTTTAGCCCAACATTGTGAGCTTAAGAAATTGAATATCAACCAATAAGACTTGATTAAGTGCATACGAAAGTACCGCTATGTTTCGGCAAAGGGCCACGCACTTCGACACAAAACACTCGTATCGTAATCAGATATAGGAAGTCTCAACTCACCTCAAATGCAAATTTTCTATAAACTTGTCTGTCGTGAGATTGTCCAGCAGGACAAAGTCGGACACACCGACTTCTGGTTGGGTCGCCATTGTCGCTATGTCACTTTTAATTCCACAACAATAATATTTATTTCAGTTCACACACAGTTGTTATGAAATTATTCACGGTATTTCAAATTATAACAACAAACCGTTAAAAAAAAACAACCGCAAACACAACTCCTCCGCTTAACATTTCATTTCAAACTGTCACTTTTAGTTGCCACTTGTTTGACCTGATCTTCCACTCAAGATTTTGTTGCCACCTTAAAAATTCTTTTACCCTTTTATTTACTGTCCATTAATCAATGTACTGTATGTTATTACATTAAATTAATATAATGTGGATAACCATAAAATCTTATGACAATTTTCAATTATTTTCTGGGTCAAAAACAACACAATATTATTTATCATTCACAGCATTTCGATTTATGTCACTTACATCGGAACGTGAATAGTTTCTCCGCCGCCATTTTCCTTGTTGTAGGTGCATCAAATGTCATAATAATTTTCAATTTTTATGATTATTATATTTATTTTGGCCCTTAGGTTTTAGAGGTATATTTTTTACATATCAGTAATAAATATTTTATACCGCTTGTAAAATATAATCCTTAAATTTACTGTACAAACCGATAATCGTAGTGATATTTAGTGTTCGTCATTTCAAGGATCTCTCATGTTCTTCAAAGAGGATCTTCTTCATAAAAGGTAGTGAGTTAGGCGCCCGCCCACAGTGCATTACAACGTAAGAATATCAACCGCGTATCGTAAGTTTTTGCATCTGATATGAAGGAATGAAATCGTGCAGTGAAAATTCGTGACAGCTTTCGGTGAACGGTCGATTTGATGGGACAATGAGTGATTCGCCAGGAGTGGAGTGGCTCCCGGCGTACAGCCCCGGACCACCGCGCCACAGCCCGCTGGGGCCAATCCCTCGCTTTTTGTACGAAGATGTTCAGCCATTGTCTCTACAGCAGGAAAATAACAACAAGGAAAGTGACCAAAAGGAGAACTCAAAAATAATGCACGCGAAACCAGCGTACAGGTAAACATAATTATTATCCTCAACAACTATCAAAACTATGAATAGGTCTGACTCATACTGTAGGTCACCTCCTGACTAATCATAAAGTTTACTGTACCAATGAATATACATTTTTAGAATATAAATTAAGTAAACAATGGAATACAACAAAAATGAGACTTTAATTTTACATTAAGATACATGCTAATATGATTATTGTTTAATGTTACCATAACTATCATTGCAATGATATTGCATATTTGTTTGATTTTTTTATGTAACCTGCTATACATTTGAAATTATCATTTTTGTTATCTCTACCACAAATATTTTATATAATTAGTAATTAGTGAATTCAATATCTTTTTAATTAAAAAATCTTATCTAATGGATTGATAAAACTATTGACAAGTTTAGGTCTTACTAAAACTACAAACAAATATATTTAATAATTATAAAGTCTTTAAGAACTATCTACTGGCAGACTATTTACTTCATTTGGGTAAATGACAACAATAAAAGTAAGGATGAATAAGCATAATATGTAGAACAACTTTTATAAAAAAAAAAATAGAAAATGTAGAGATTTTTTGTCAAATATTTAGTTAATATATTGTTTTTTTTTTTCATTTTCAGTTATGCCAGCATGATTAGATTAGCAATCAGCAGTTCTCCAAATGGCAAGATGACTCTCAATGAGATTTACAATTATATCTGTAATGCTTTTCCTTACTACAAAGAAGCTGGCAAAGGATGGATGGTAAGGGGAATTTGTTGTTACAATATCAATATGACTGTTACATTAATTAGAGGCTGGCATTTTGTGTTAGGCTTCATTTTAACAGCCGCATTCCTTGTGTTTTTGGCACTTGATCATTTGGTTTTTACACACGAACTTCAGTTGAGTAATTTTCTTACTGAGGAAGGGTTTCTGTATCTGCAAGGTAGTGGTTGCATTTTATCCAAATTAAATTTAAAAATTTGCAAAATTTAGGCTCAAGACCCAGCATTTGGAATATGAATAGGCTGATAGTGGTATCATGTCTTGAAAATGACCCTAAGTAATGTTTCATACTGTTCATTTGTTTGATTTATTAATGAGCAGTTAGTTTAGACAAAAGTTTTATCTTAGGCCTGATACATTAGTCAAAGCCCCATCAAGTACATAGTACAATTTTCTTTCAAATTTTGACAAATAGTGAGCTACAATTTGGGCTAAGTTATTTTCTATACTTTATTATGCAATTGAACTTATGCTATCATAACTATTTCAGAATTCAATAAGGCACAACTTGTCCTTGAATAAATGTTTTATGAAAGTGGCTCGTAGTAAAGATGACCCAGGCAAGGGCTCATACTGGGCTATGGACACCAGCCAGAAAATGGCAGAGGTGGCACCGCGACGACGAAGAAGTATAAGGGTGAGTTTAAATAAAAAATCAAGAGCTAATTAAATGCACTTTTTGCCATATATGCCAATACGTTTTGTGGCATAAAGTGCAGTTTTTATGCATCATAGAGCAAAATAAGTGCTGGGGCACACAATGCGTTATGGCGCCGCAACGTTACGTCGCAGCGGAGGCGCCGGCGCCCCAGGAGCATTGACAACTAGCACCAAAATAATCCTCTCCCCGCGTCATCTCAAAGGATGCAAGTCTCGTGGACACCACAACGCATTGTATTACATACTACTGATATTACTATGTATGACGACTCAACAACGCTGCTCCAATACATTGTATTGTGTGCCCCTACACTAAGGCAGGTTCCAGTAGTCTACGCATTTGCAATAGCCATTTATATTTAGGCAATACCATAATAATTAGGAAGGGGTTACTTGCATACTTTGTTATTGTTGAACAGATACTATTCTTGCAAATGTTGTGTTGTCAACGTCTGCCTTCGTTTAAGATATGCAATTTTATATAATGTTAAATGCAAGTATTAATTGATGTGCAAAAAGATAACAGTTTATATAAAAAAAACCTATTCTCTTCAACCAGTTTTCTGAATGTGCATGCTATCTTAATTGGCAGTATTGGGGCAGTAGGTTCACACGTCTGTGCTTATATTATCATTGCAAATCAAATTATAGGGTGTTTAATATACATACTTTTATGATGGAATTGCCTTCTGAAACTTCATTATAAACCTAATGTCACATGGGTAGCGTAAATATCACCTATTAAGATACCAGTTGTACTCCTAGTTATTGAGAATTGACTGATCAAGTACTTGCACATGAGTAAAGAAGTTACAAAGGCAAAGCTTTATACAGTGTGCGTGTGTGAGAGAGTTTGTGGCTCCCTGTCGCCGCCAATGGAAACGTTTCCCTGTGTATGCGACATGCCGCCAGCGCTTCTCACATACGTGCAATAGGTTGACAGTATTAAAAATAAAGGGCCGATGGTTGATATGTATTTACAGAATGAATATTGACAGAGATTTTTGCTATTTTTACTGAAGAAATATTCATAATTTTACAAAAAAAAGCGCGAAGATTTTTAAATAAATTAATGTTGATTTAGGATTTTACATTTTATTTAGAAAAAATAATAATTTTTTATGGAGTTCATTAACTGATAGTTTTCCAAAATTTGTCAAATATCATATTGGCGGCAAAGCATTGAGTCAGTTCCTCCGCCCCGCACAGATGGCGCCGTACAGCCCCGAGTGCAGCTCCAACAGCAGCGGAGCCGACGCCAACGCCACGCCCCCGCCCACACCCACCACGCCCACGCCTCCCGCGCCCGACGCCAACACCAACACCAACACCACCGCCAACACTACCACCAACCCCAAGCCAATAGACACCGCGCCCGCGCCGGAGAGAGCAGGGACAGGTAATGACAATAACGCAACTGTACAACGCCTGTCACCCCGCCCGCGCCCGACGCCAACACCAACACCACCGCCAACACTATCACCAACCCCAAGCCAATAGACACCGCGCCCGCGCCGGAGAGAGCAGGGACAGGTAATGACAATAACGCAACTGAACAACGCCCGTCACCCCGCCCGCGCCCGACGCCAACACCAACACCACCGCCAACACTACCACCAACCCCAAGCCAATAGACACCGCGCCCGCGCCGGATAGAGCAGGGACAGGTAATGACAATAACGCAACTGAACAACGCCCGTCACCCCGCCCGCGCCCGACGCCAACACCAACACCACCGCCAACACTACCACCAACCCCAAGCCAATAGACACCGCGCCCGCGCCGGAGAGAGCAGGGACAGGTAATGACAATAACGCAACTGAACAACGCCCGTCACCCCGCCCGCGCCCGACGCCAACACCAACACCACCGCCAACACTACCACCAACCCCAAGCCAATAGACACCGCGCCCGCGCCGGATAGAGCAGGGACAGGTAATTACAATAACGCAACTGAACAACGCCCGTCACCCCGCCCGCGCCCGACGCCAACACCAACACCACCGCCAACACTACCACCAACCCCAAGCCAATAGACACCGCGCCCGCGCCGGATAGAGCAGGGACAGGTAATTACAATAACGCAACTGAACAACGCCCGTCACCCCAAGCGCCCGACGCCAACACCAACACCACCGCCAACACTACCACCAACCCCAAGCCAATAGACACCGCGCCCGCGCCGGATAGAGCAGGGACAGGTAATTACAATAACGCAACTGAACAACGCCCGTCACCCCAAGCGCCCGACGCCAACACCAACACCACCGCCAACACTACCACCAACCCCAAGCCAATAGACACCGCGCCCGCGCCGGATAGAGCAGGGACAGGTAATTACAATAACGCAACTGAACAACGCCCGTCACCCCGCCCGCGCCCGACGCCAACACCAACACCACCGCCAACACTACCACCAACCCCAAGCCAATAGACACCGCGCCCGCGCCGGATAGAGCAGGGACAGGTAATTACAATAACGCAACTGAACAACGCCCGTCACCCCAAGCGCCCGACGCCAACACCAACACCACCGCCAACACTACCACCAACCCCAAGCCAATAGACACCGCGCCCGCGCCGGATAGAGCAGGGACAGGTAATTACAATAACGCAACTGAACAACGCCCGTCACCCCAAGCGCCCGACGCCAACACCAACACCACCGCCAACACTACCACCAACCCCAAGCCAATAGACACCGCGCCCGCGCCGGATAGAGCAGGGACAGGTAATTACAATAACGCAACTGAACAACGCCCGTCACCCCGCCCGCGCCCGACGCCAACACCAACACCACCGCCAACACTACCACCAACCCCAAGCCAATAGACACCGCGCCCGCGCCGGATAGAGCAGGGACAGGTAATTACAATAACGCAACTGAACAACGCCCGTCACCCCAAGCGCCCGACGCCAACACCAACACCACCGCCAACACTACCACCAACCCCAAGCCAATAGACACCGCGCCCGCGCCGGATAGAGCAGGGACAGGTAATTACAATAACGCAACTGAACAACGCCCGTCACCCCGCCCGCGCCCGACGCCAACACCAACACCACCGCCAACACTACCACCAACCCCAAGCCAATAGACACCGCGCCCGCGCCGGATAGAGCAGGGACAGGTAATTACAATAACGCAACTGAACAACGCCCGTCACCCCAAGCGCCCGACGCCAACACCAACACCACCGCCAACACTACCACCAACCCCAAGCCAATAGACACCGCGCCCGCGCCGGATAGAGCAGGGACAGGTAATTACAATAACGCAACTGAACAACCCCCGCCACCCCTCCCTCCCACGTTGCCTGCGCCTGACCGTGCGACCAACAATACCACCAACACGTGTCCGTGATGGTAGCGTACCCACGATCAATATACGGTTTTTCGTTATGCCATTAAATACTGCGTAAATAGTGCCAAATAAGTGTAAAAATAAAAAAAAATAGTGCCTCTTTAATTTAAGAAATAAGACCATTTTCACTGTGTACGCTAGCATGACGTCAAGCTAGCGTACCCATGGCCGTCCCCAAGAACGGCATATATTTAAGCAACGAAATTGCCACACAAAAATAGTTCGCAAATAGTACCCTGGCTTTACAAAATTTCATAATCAATACTCTTAAAGAACCAAAGATAATGAACTAAACATTCTTAGCTGGCGTCAACCTGACGTACCCATCTCTTATCTATTAGACAAGTCCGTCCGTCTGTCTGTGGTGCTGTTTCAGCGGCCAAACCGTAAGAGATAGATAAAGTGAATATTTAAGTTATAAGTTAAGAATAGTCTGATAAGACTACAAGCCGGATTTGAGTAACGTAGCACTTCCGGTTTTCGAGAAATCACGAATTTCAAACGAAACCACACAAAATCTCCGAAGTTCTCAATTAATTAAATACATTTTTTTTTTAAATCAGGTTTTGGTAAACATTTGGTTCACTGGTTTGCTAGTAATATTTCTCATAGAAAATGAACTTTTCTCGTTATCAATTCTATATGTATAAATAGTGTGTCAAATAATGTCTCTAACAGTAAAAGTATTTTATGTGAATGTGTGCCTCTTTAGGCACTATTTTTTTATTTTTACACAAATTTGGCACTATTTACGCAGTATTTAATGGCATAACGAAAAATCGTAAATTGATCGTGGGTACGCTACCATCACAGACACCACCAACACTACCCTGCGCCAGAACACACCTCGCCCGCGCCTGGGAGAGCAGAGACAGGTAATGCTAATTAATCAAATAACTAAACAGCCACATGGCCACCACCAGCACTAACGTCACACCTACGTTCGCCGACTTCTGTTGATACTACGCTCACACACGGGACAGGAAATAATATTGGTGAATCAGCCATCACGCCCACGCTGCATGCGCCCGACGCCGCGACCAACAATACTGCCAATACTACGACCAACACTAACGCCCCGCCAACGTCCGTGGACACTACGCCCGCGCCAGAGAGCGGACAGATAAATACAATAAAATGACAAAACAGCCGCAGCGGACAGGTAAATACAATAAAATGACAAAACAGCCGCAGCGGACAGGTAAATACAATAAAATGACAAAACAGCCGCCCACGCCCGGCGCCACAACTACGATCAACCTCAACGAATTAGAAATCATATTGAAGCATTACTCTCATGTAATGACGTATATTAAATTACATCGCTGGATTCCAATACTTCTTTTGATCCGAGACCCTCAACACAACCCTTTTTTTTTATTCTCGTTAAGTTCGCTACGACGCTGTTCAAATTTCCATTCAAAAGTTCTTGACATTTGATGTGTGGGAAATCGAATTCAACTATCCGAATTAAAACCTTCGAACTGAACCTTCTATTGACACGATAGCACTTCACGTTCAAATTTTTATTTTAACTAAGAAGAAATAAGATTGCAAATGTAATGCACGTCTTGCGGCCAGTTTCAATAATCTAACTCCAATAGGAAATGGCCTATTACAGCCCATGAAGATTGTAATAACAACTGAATGAATTATTAAAACCGGCCGTTAGTATTATGAATGCCCTGGAATAAATACCACGAACGTACCAGATACAGATTTACCCAGAACGCCGCATCGCGCGACGTGAACGACCTCAATGAAAGCTAAGTGGTGCGATCCATTCGAATATAAGCTTTATGTAGTGCTCCGTAAGGATGAAAGTGCAATGACATCCTCCTATTTGTTTACAAATCATGCCCGCTACCTGCGTATAAGTATTCGCCGGTGCTAGTTAGCTTGCAAATGGACTTTTCTGAAATGCGTCGATTAGCTTATATAAAGCCGGGTCTCCAGCGCGTGTTTTGCCCAACACAAGCTACAAAAACATCAACGTTCAACAAAATCGTCTACATCAAACTTTGTTTCACTTTACATATTTGTTTACACTAAAAACATTGTTGATGAATAACAATGTTTTTGCTTTCCGACGCCGATGGAAAACACGTACTCAAATCTGCCCCGCGCGGGTCCAGGGGCAGGGTATTGTTTCATCGGCCACTCGCTAGCGGGAGCTCCGTTCCAAACCAACGCACCGCTCCAACTTTTCACTCTGACGTATACCAGGTACAGGTACGTACCTGGGCGTTTTTCCCCGCCCATCACGACAACGGCTAACTAGAGCCGAGGTTCGAGTCTCCGAGGCGATCTCTAGTTGAGCCGACCCCCTCAGCTTCGAGTGGTCTGGAGGCTCCAGACGGAGAGGAGACCTCCCCCTCGAGGGGAGATGCCATCCGCCTGGAATATCTCTAGAGGCACTCGCCAATTCTCGGCTGTAGGTCCCCTTAGGATCTCGCCGTCCCCAAACCCGGTGACGCTGTAAAGGTCATCTGCGACCAACAGCATTCACACTAGGGTTGCCACCTTTTTTATGTCCTAACAAAGTACTTTGGATATTAAAGGTAGAAAAAAGTACATTGTGTCCAAAATAAAGTACATTTTATTTCACTTAAAAAAATATATTTTACGTTGCTTATAGCAACTTATAATAAATAATTTGTGGCTGCTAAATATCTGTAGTTCTTATCCGCAATGAGAGAGGCCATTGTACAAAGCCATACAGCCGCGACCAATGTTGCAGGACTGAGCTCAGGACGACATATTTTACATACTGTTGTTCCGTTTTACGCGAAAATTCTTGCTATCCTCTTTTTGTATAATTTATGTAAATTAAGCCCCAAGTAATCAAATCACATTAAATAAAGTATTTTCGCGTACTTTATTGTTGGCATAAAGTAAAAAGTAAAATTACCCGAAATAACGTACAATACTTTATAATAAATTACGGGTAGCAACCCTAATACACACTCAAAAAAAATTGACATAAAATCTACGAAACTTTTGTCAACTTTGACATTTGTTGTACCTCGATCGTTGTTTTTGAAAGTAGTCATGTGTATTTTCTTTACGATAGCCACGTGAGCAGGAGACGGCGTGTGTAGAAATATTTCAGAAACAAAGTTTGGTTGTATGTCTTTTTGTTGAATGTTATCAAAAAACTTTTGCTGGAGGACTACGGACATTAATACGCTAATGATGATTATACTTACTAAAGCGAGTACTATCGTTTTCTCAGTAGTTCCGGAAACGAATCACACAGACGACGCGCTGTCGGAGCTCATGAACGAGGAACTCATCGCCGACGTGGACATCACTACAGGTAACATAATGTTTAATTCTAAAGAAAATATAACTAGAAAAAATTCCACTCTGACCAGGCAGCAGACGGGACTCGAACCCGCACCCTACGCAATCCGGGAGAATGCACTGACCAATTATGCTACTGCGGCCCTCACGGACCGCGTCGAAATTCTTTTAGCCATTCTTAAGCTGCGAGGCAGCGCCATCTCTTTGTATTAAAGATAACCCACAATGTCAAATGAATACTTTTACAAGTATTAAACATTTGAAAGAAGAAATAGCAATTATAGTTATATTTTTTATTATTTTAAAGCATGTAACTGCTTGATGTTTAAATCTAAAGAAAATGTAACTAGAAAAAATTGTGGGTTACCTATAATGCGAATAGATGGCGCTGTCTTGCAGCTTAAGAATGGCTAGAAGAATTTCGACGCGGTCCGTGAGGGCCGCGGTAGCATAATTGGCCAGTGCATTCTCCCGGATTGCGAAGGGTGTGGGTTCGAGTCCCGTCTGCAACCTATAACACTATATACCTAATATTTCGATCCCGAATGCACGCTTTCCCTAATAACTTTATACCTATAACACAGTATACCTAATATTTCGATCCCGAATGCACGCTTTCCCTAATAACTTTAGACCTATAACACTGTATACCTAATATTTCGATCCCGAATGCACGCTTTCCCTAATAACTTTAGACCTATAACACTGTATACCTAATATTTCGATCCCAAATGCACGCTTTCCCTAATAACTTTAGACCTATAACACTGTATACCTAATATTTCGATCCCGAATGCACGCTTTCCCTAATAACTTTAGACCTATAACACTGTATACCTAATATTTCGATCCCGAATGCACGATATCCCTAATAACTTTAGACCTATAACACTGTATACCTAATATTTCGATCCCAAATGCACGCTTTCCCTAATAACTTTAGACCTATAACACTGTATACCTAATATTTCGATCCCGAATGCACGCTTTCCCTAATAACTTTAGACCTATAACACTGTATACCTAATATTTCGATCCCGAATGCACGATATCCCTAATAACTTTAGACCTATAACACTGTATACCTAATATTTCGATCCCGTATGCACGCTATCCCTAATAATTTTAGACCTATATCACTGTATACTTAATATTTCGATCCCGAATGCACGATATCCCTAATAACTTTAGACCTATAACACTGTATACCTAATATTTCGATACCGAATGCACGATATCCCTAATAACTTTATACCTATAACACTGTATACCTAATATTTCGATCCCGAATGCACGATATCCCTAATAACTTTAGACCTATAACACTGTATACTTCATATATCTATCCCGAATGCGCGCTATGCCTAATAACTTTGAGGCGAGCTAAACTGTACTTGCAGGGCCCAAGTAGGTTTGGTTAGGTTAGTATTAGTTAATATCAATTCTAAAGTTATTAGGGATAGCGTGCATTCGGGATCGAAATATTGGGTATGCAGTGTTATAGGTCTAAAGTTATTAGGGATAGCGTGCATCCGGGATCGAAATATTAAGTATACAGTATTATAGGTCTAAAGTTATTAGGGAAAGCGTGCATTCGGGCTACAAATATTAGGAATAATGTTCTTTACAGATATAGTGATTCAGGGTTTCAATTTTTGGTATTAAGTATAACTGGATTATGGCTGTGTTTTTTTGTGTGAAAAGTGTGACAAACGAACATCTGTACCTGGTGGTAAGCGACCACCATAGCCTATATACGCTTGTAATTTGTGCATTTCTTACCCTGACCACATCTCTTACTGTGGTACCCATCTTGTGGTCTTTCTTACGGAAAGAAAGAAGGAGTCATCAAAATGCAGTGTGATTTCAATAAGATGATGGCACATCAATACCAGTGAAAAATCATTTTACTAAAAGCGTTACTGGTAATTACGATTGGCCAATGGCAGCTCCTTTTCTCGTGTGACGCCTTATTTCCATTGTGATTAAGAAAGCGCTCCACTAACGGCCAATTTCAATTATCAAACTACATAAATTGAAATCTGGGCTTATTACAGCTTCGACGCTTAGACATTATTGTTGAGTATTACGGTTATAACAATAACTTTTGCTAAGAATCTACCTTGTACCGGAAGTTGATAATTGAAAATGGTCGTAATTCGTCGTTTCCTTGCGCGCGCGCAGAGTAAACAGTAAGGTTCAAATCTCATTGGCTCAGATCGCCTATGGAGTGACGGGGGCCGGCGCCACACTTGCGGCGCCTTACACCACAGCTCCCTAACCGACGACTACGGCAACTTCGTCGTCACCACCCTCGACGACTGCGACTGCCCCGCGCTAGATCCCCCCCTTGCCGCTATAACCTGCCCCATCACCCCGCCCCTCCCCGCCTCAATCCCCTGCCCCATAACCGCCTCAATACCCTGCCCGATAACCGCGAACCACGCCCCTTATTGGCAGCCTGACGTGTTATAACACCGCTCAACGTATCCCACACTACCCTATACTCATTAACTGACATTTATATGCTTACATAATTATGTAGAATGTGGTTCGGCCATGCCTACTGAAATTTCATATTTATACTGATTTGTGAAGGCGTATTTTATTTAAAGGTTTATATATGTAGAGTGCGATTCGCGACTGAAGTTGTCGCGTCAAAATTTCAAAAAAATTAATTCTGGGTGATTGTGAGGTTTCTCTGAACTGAAGTCTGCGCATAGTTGCGCTCGTCGCTAACTTCACAACCGTCATTAAAGTGTGAATCGCACTGTACAGCGTTTAGGATCCGAAGAAGTATTGAATTTGAAATACGACGCGAATGTAAGTGAACATGACAAGGAAATGTTTTGTGTGTCGTAAACTTTGATCCAATCGTTTTTTGTCTACGTAATGTATGTTCTGTTATGTAAAGTTTTTTGGCAACTGGAATGCAAACACATAAGACATCGTGAGGTCTTCTATAAACTAAAAAAAAAGGGTTAATGATATTTACGCTCTTGATTTTACTTTGCAATTTATAGATATTAACGAATCGATCAATAGTTTACGAATGCTATAAAACTGGTACTAGATCTGTACCCTTAGCACGAACCAATATCGAATTCGAATAGTTTGCGAGCCCGAAATGTAATGTCAAATTTTGTATGAAAACTTGAACAGCAGCGTCACAACGGATGTAAAGAGAACTAAAAATCAGTACACATCGAATTCGATTTTGGTTCGTGTACCGTACCGTATTGTTGTATTTTATCGATTTCAACGATATACTCAGTTGAATTTTTACGTTCGGGATAAATTTATAGTATAATACTTATACAAAATTTTTGATGTTTCGAAACTCTGTAGCACAGCAATCAGGATTTATAGTATAATAGTATTATACCACAAATTTATCACAAACGTAAAAAAAGTTAATAATTTGACCTTTAGATGATTACATAGCATACACATAGTTGACGTCACACAGAAGACTTGGGGTGTATTCCGAATCAACTTCCGAAATTTGACAACACTACTACTACACCAGTGCAATATGGCGTCGAAATCATGACGTCATTACCGCTGGCCAGCGTACTGGTTTATATTTCGGAATACACCCTTGATCGAATCGAGCGTTTTGGCGGTTAATTCAAAACCATTAGAAATAAATTCAACTTTAATTGGTCTAATGGAGAAAAAAAGACATTTTTTTTTCTTTTAAATCGTTTGTCCCAATCTTCAAATATAAGCAGTTTTAAAAATTTGGAAAATACCCTATTGTCCAATTCAGATATAACTACGGATCGTACGTCGAACGTACGGACAATACTAGGCCAGGTCGACAGAAATTGATTAAGTTCTGCAATCGATTTTGACTTTTCAATTCAACTACAATAAAGTGGAAAATCGATTGGAGAATTTTGGGCAATTATGTTAGCCTGCTATAAAACAATTTTGTAAAACTATCACAAATCGCGATGAAAATTCTCTATGTAGTCAACTACCATCATTAACTTTCATACAGAGTACTATAATGTCATCAGTATAAACTTATATGTTTTCCAATCGATATTTATATAACTTTAAGGCCTTAGCGTTCAAAATCTATTGAAAATATAAAACGCTTAGTACTGATGTCGTTAATATAGGCCCGGGCCTATAATAATTTGTAGATTGAAAATCAAACTGCCGATATATATCATGTTTATTAAGCGAATTCGATATATATAAATAGCATACTAGTTTTGTGAACTGTTGTAACAAAAGACTAATAATGACGACGGATCGTACTGTTTTTATACATAAAAAGTATATGCCACGAGAGATGTATTAGTGGAAGATCCGAACCTTCATCGACTTTCACCGAACTGATAATAGAATGAAACATATTTTATCATTTCTTTAGTGTATTAGAAAATATATTTAAAATGGGTTGCCTAAAAAAATCCTGGACATACTTGTTTTTAATTATTCCAAAAAATAATTTATGCTATATTAACAAATTAAGAAATTTTTGTCCTGACTTGAAGTATAAAACGTATAGAATGGGGTAATGTAACTGACAGCGATATACCTGTTTATACCTAACTACTGGGTTGCCAACCCAGTAGTAAGACAGCCCAAGGGCCATTGCCAATAAATTAAAAAAAAACAGCCCAAGGGCTGCACATTTTATACTGTTTTAGGACAACATTTACCTAATATCTTGATGTTGCACCATTTAATTAAAAATGTTTTTTTAGAAATTAATTAAAAAAAAGTCCATCCAGGATTTTTTTAGGCAACCCATTTTGAATATATTTTCTAATACACTAAATTAATGATAAAATATGTTTCATTCTATTATCAGCTCGGTGAAGGTCGATGTAGGTTCGGATCATGGAGCATATTGTATCAGAGACGGTGACATATCTGCCAACTAAAGTATAGGTTAGCGGTAGTATACGTTGCAAGGCGCGGCAACTCTTCATACAGAAGGACGCAGAGGACCACAGAGGGAAGCGATACGTACGATAGTTCACGTTTATTGCGCGCGGCGAACCTCCAAATGTGACTTTTCCCCAATATTTTAACTGTTTTCATGGAAATGTCACGTTCAAGAGTCGCATAAATTTAAATTATTGAAAACGGTGAACAGTATTGGAGCCAGAATGGTGACGAACAGATCTCAGAATGACCAGTATATTGTAATAATGAATAATATTAGTGTGCGCTGGAGTTTTGTCACGACAGCGGTGCATATACACGATTAGTATTCATTTCTATTAGTTAAAAATGGTACTGTATAATTATTACTATATAAATATGAATTAGTTGTTACGAATTTATAATTTAAAGAAAATTATATATAATTATGGAATATAATAAAGTCGCACCTATATACGTAATAAAAATATTGCTTTTTTTAGAGTATGTATAGCGTAAACTTGGCCTATCCGATGGAGTATTTTCGTTAAGCTGACACAAAACTGTTGCGTCTCACGAGGTGCATTATTGATTTTATATACACTTGTGCCATAGAGTATGGAATCGACAGACGAAGTCGGGAGTTAGAAGTTGAAATTTGTCCCATATCTTATTGAAAAATGTGTTCAGAAATTTTTAGAAGTTGTATCTACGTACATTATAGTTAGTAACTATGTTGTAAGGCGTTATTTTAATATGACAGGTTTCTGATGATGTCTGCGGTATATGACAGTTTTTTACCAATTTTCGAAGTGCAGGTTTATATGATATTGTTGGGAGGTCATCATACTTTTTGTACTCGATATGTACCAACTTGGATCAAATGCTCTCTTATGTGTATACTAATTATAGTGCTTGTAATTGTTAGATACTTAGACGGTGGGTGATGCTGTGTGTGCAGCCAGGATACAGAGTAAATTGAGAATATTTCACGTAATTGTAACGTTACTTTCTGTGAAAACTATTACAATTACTGATCGCTTTAAAACAATAACGTATGTTCAATACACGTGTATGGCAGAAAATGTATGTAGATTGTAAACTCTCAAACTTTGTTGGACAGGAGCCATAGAGCTAGGAACACGCTTGACTCGTTCGTAGACTTTCTCTATACCAGGATACCTGACTGATAAGTGGAAACCAAGGTAAACCATGAAATATTATATCACGTCACAAGTTAAAGCCAGAAACATATTAACCTATCGTGTCGTGTCGTGGCGCGCCAGAAACACATCGGTTTCATACATTTACTATAGTTAGAGATATATTTACGTATCGTGTCGTGTCGACGCTTTAACCTCTCTATCTCTCTCTAACCCATTATAAATGTATGAAACCGATGCGCCACGTCACGCCACGACACGTTAATATGTTTCTGGCTTAACATGCAGTCAACAAACAGGTCAATTTATTCAAAATTTCCTAATTAACCCAAACGACCTTGTGATTTATATTGCTTGATATAGGATTCACTTAATTTCGTAAATCAATATATACATAAAGAAAATTTTACTAGAAAAGAATCCACGCAGACCAGGCATAAGACGGGACTCGAACTCGCACCCTTCGCTATCCTGGCGAATGCACTGACCATTATGTTACCGCGGCCCTAAAATGTTCGAGATTTTTTCTAGTAAAATTTTCTTTAGATTTAAACATCTAGCTGTACCCTTAGTACGAGTTTGAGCTCACGAAAACTATCATAGTTTTCGTAATTGTAAATTATGTTTATAATAATATGTCCATTTTGGTGAAAAGTAACCAATTCTTAAAATTTGTATTGAAACGAAAACAATTAAATCAGTACCCTCAGTATGAGTGCGAGCTCACGGAAACTATCATAGTTTTCGTAATTGTAAAACTCGTACTAAGGGTACAGTTAAATGTTTAACAAAAATATATAAAAACTAGCTGACCCAGCGAACTTCGTACCGCCATAAAAAAAATAGGGGTTGGTGGTAGAAAGTTGAAAATTTAGGGATGTATGTATTTTTGTATGATGTATCATAAAAAAAAAATATCTAAAATCGAAAAAAAAAAATTTAGGGGTGGATTACCCTTAACATTTAGGGGGATGAAAAATAGATAGTCTGATTCTCAGACCTACCCAATATGCACACAAAATTTCATGGGAATCGGGAAAGCCGTTCCGGAGGAGTTTAACCACAAACACGAGAATTTTATACAATACTAGCTGACCCAGCGAACTTCGTACCGCCCTAAAAAATCGGGGTTGTCCAGCGGACAAAATTGTGAATCCAAACCATTCTCAGATCCCCTTGAACACACACAAAAAATTTCATCAAAATCGGTCCAGTCGTTTAAGAGAAGTTCAGTGACATACACACTCACAGAAGAATTATATCGAGGGTATTCCGGGAGAACCGGATAAGTAACGATACTGCTAAAATGAGAAAAAGGAATTTAAAGTTTTAGATTGTCATAGGTCAACGACGAAGCATAACTAAAGTTTTTTTTTACTATTTGTTCTGAGATAAATTATCTTAGATTGTTTTGATACATTAAAT